CATTTCTTCCATCTCATCTAATTCCAAACCATTTCTTAGCTTGCATCTCATTTTTCATCATAACTTTTGCTTAAACAGCTCCATTCAAGCCCTGTGCTCCAGCTGTCCACTAACCCCGCCCTCTCATTTGCATACTCCCCTGCCATTGGTCCACACCTCGCACCTCGCGCGGTGATTGGCCAGCTGGCTCCACAACTGGAATGCGAGACGCTCTGGTCACAGCAAGCGCAGGCATGAGAGTTCACAGAGTCTAGGCGGTTCAAGGAAAGTCCGGCTTTTGAGTCCAGACTCCAGACCCATGTCCAGACCGCAGAGAGTCCAATTTGAGCCCGGTGCAAAGGTTAAGAAGATGCTCTGGACAAATTTCTCACTGTTTTGACAAGCTGTAAAAATGTCAAAGTTATCCCAAACGCCAAACCGCTTCTGGCTGAGGATAGATGCAGCATTGTTGTGGGAGAGCCTGGAACTGTCTGGAACTGTCTGGAACTGTCTGGAACTGAGCCATTATGAGTTAACTTACAACTTACAATCTTAGCTTTTCGCAGCATGTTTGGATCCGATTTCAGTTCTAACTCACAATACAAGCTTTAACAAGTTTCAGTCATTGCTTTTGACATTTAAAGCTGGGGTACTTCACTTTTTGTTCCTTGCATATTACATGTTGATTTCATGCTGGTTTACACCTGGTTTAGTCCTGGTTTAGTCCTGGTCTAGTCCTGGTTTAGTCTGAGTTTAGCCTTGCTTTAGTTCTAGTTTACACCTGGTTTAGTCCTGGTTTAGTCTGAGTTTAGCCTTGCTTTAGTTCTAGTTTACACCTGGTTTAGTCCTGGTTTAGTCTGGGTTTAGCCTTGCTTTAGTTCTAGTTTACACCTGGTTTAGTCCTGGTCTAGTCCTGGTCTAGTCCTGGTTTAGTCTGAGTTTAGCCTTGCTTTAGTTCTAGTTTACACCTGGTTTAGTCTGGGTTTAGCCTTGCTTTAGTTCTAGTTTACACCTGGTTTAGTCTGGGTTTAGCCTTGCTTTAGTTCTAGTTTACACCTGGTTTAGTCTGGGTTTAGTCTGAGTTTAGCCTTGCTTTAGTTCTAGTTTACACCTGGTTTAGTCTGGGTTTAGCCTTGCTTTAGGTCTAGTTTACACCTGGTTTAGTCCTGGTTTAGACTTGGTTTAGCCTTGCTTTAGTTCTAGTTTACTCAGGGTTTAGTCCTGGTTTAGACTTGGTTGAGTCCTGAACCTGGTTTAGTCCTGGTTTAGCCTTCCTATGTTCATGTGATTTGGTTTAGATGAACGTTTCTCTTTCCTTCTTTTGTCCGTCTGCTTTGATCCACAGAGACACAATAACCAAATAAACGGCACAAAAACCCACAAAAACCGTGACTTCACCAAAATAAAAACATGACGACATCGAGACTAAATAAATCTCTCTATTTTCTCCTCGAGTTTAAAGAAAAGGAAATTATTACAGCCACGGCTCGATCCTGTCAGACTCGCCTCATTTCCCTCCGGTGTCATTACAACGAGACCACAACAACCCCCGAGCCACCATTATAAACACAGCAGCTATTATTATACCTGATGAGTCGCACACCATACTACTGCATACACTGCAGGAGTACTGGTAGAAGTAGTAGTAGTAGTAGTAGTAGTAGTAGTAGTGGTGGTGGTGGCCTGGTTATTACTGTGATGGGAGACCTCAGTGGGGCGGCTGCGGCTGTAAAGTGCCAAACTGTGGTTGTGTCCTTAGGCAAGACACTTCACCCCCATTGCCTAGAATGAGTCTGGTGTGTGTGTGAATAGTTAGTGGCAGTGGGAGGGGCCGATGGCACAGACTGGTTGCCTCGCTTCTGTCAGTGTGCCCCAGGGCAGCTGTGGCTACAGTAGTAGTTTGTCATGACCGTGTTTGGAGAGAATGAATAATGATCAGTCTTTGAGTGTGAAAAGCTCGATATAAAACCAATACATTAGATGTAGTAACAGCAGAAGTTGCAGTATTGACAGTGGTTGTAGTGATAATAAGAGTGGTAGTAGTTTCAAACTTCACCAGTTGTAACCAGTGTGGGCGGGTCCCGGCTCAAAAGTGGCCAAAATGACGTGCGCTGACATGCTGCAGTACCACCCCGGGCCTGTGGGGGTGGACCCAGAATAAGAATTAGCCAATGCTAACATATAGCATATTCTTACCTCTGGAAAACGTCTTTACAGAATGGTCCAAAAGTGGCTCTTGGCCCAAAGCTCCGTTCCACATGTGTGTCAATGCTGAGTGTTCTGGACCAGTCTAGTTTAGTCGCTGTGGACTTTAGAAGTCTCTCGTTTAAATGAATGGAGCTCGTGCAGCTGACTCATGCACAGATGTGTTTTTTCACATTTTCCAGCCCCTGCGGCCATTTTGAATCACTCCATGAAAGCCCAATCTTTGGCCCATTAGTTAGAACGGCGGAGATAGGCGTGACTACGTTAATATTTAGTCTGTGGTTGTGACGTGCAGCTCTCTAAATCTTTATAATAT